GCATGGAGAGCTGTGCTCCTCGCTGCTTATGTGCTGTGTTGCGGCTGCGTGCACACTCAGGCCAAATTATCAGCCACATCAGGCCGATTTTTTTTCGATACGATTAATTTTCTTTCTATCGGAGCTGATCCAATACTGGATTGATGTATCGGTGCACCTCCTATTGATAAATTTTTCACAGTTAAACAATGGGATATAGGAGTTGCCATCAATCTTCAGTTGCCTGTAGACTGCTGATACCAAAAGAACAGTGTGTCCAAACTCCTAATGAAAGAGAACTAAATAATGAGGTGGTACTTAAAATCCCCAAATGTAGAAGAAATAATATTAAAGCCTGAAAGCCCTCTTCCATATGCCTCTGTTAACATGTTGAGGATCCATTCCTATTGATAAGGATGTATTGATAAGAGAGATTTTGAAATCCACCATAGTTGAGGTCAAGGAAGGTTAGAAACTCACAATGACTAGCCATGATTTTGATGTGTTCTGACTTGGAAGCGTATTTGCTGAACTCTGAAATTTTAATTGATTTCTTTTTAGACATGAGGATGAACCATCAAAGTAGGTTTTCTGCCTTGTCAGGAGCAGAGGTGGCGTCTCTAACAGTGATTTGTGTATCTCTCACATTTATTGTTATTCCTAATTAAAAAACTTAATGGAGAGGAAGAAGAAAAGCTTGGTTAAGGCACTAGTCTAGGACTTGAGAGATTTGAGTTATTTTTTTGACTTGACAGATGTGTGTGACCTTAGTGAAATCAGGGTTTCTCTGCTCTTAACTTTACCACCTGGAAAATGGAAGTCATGTTTCTTGCCTCATTGGTGATATGAGGATTAACTCCTTAAAACTGAAATGCTTATGTTAAGTGACAAATCACAAATTCTGTAGACTTCTATTAGAGGATAGTTATTGCTAGTGTTGGAGTTTTTTGACTTGAAAGCATATGGTAGTCTTGGAAGATGATGATGATGATGTGGGTAACTTTCTTTTCTTTCTGTGCAGGTCAACTTCGTAGTGTGCCAACTGTTTGCCTTGCTTGCAGCTATTTGGTTTCGAACATACCTTCATTCAAGCAAAACTAACTCATTTATAAGACATGTTGTTGTCACACTTTTGGGCCTTTATCTTGCATTTTTTTGTTTTGGATGGTAAGTAGTGGTTTTTTTTTACATTTCAATTATATGTGGATTTTAATTTTTGAGGTGTAGTAATACCTGTATTTTATTATGGTGAATCTTATGACTGACTTTTCTCCAGGAACCAAGGGAGAGACAAAAATGGTATTCAGATGAAAACAAAGTAACAGCTCATCCAGTGTAACTGGGCATGTGTTTGTTTATAGTGCCTTGGTTCCGTACGGGACAATTTCATGGTGGCATATGGCACCATGTCTTTAATTAGAGGTGCACCACTATATCGCCCAATATCCTATTGGCACAGATGAAGGGAAATTTGACATTACTGGCAGCCAGCTTTTTTGGCCAATGTGGCTGATAATGTCCCTGATTAAATGCTGCGTACACGTGCGTAGCCGCAGCATGCACATAGCCAGGGATGGAGCCTGGCATCTTGGAAAGCAGTGTCCAGCCAGTAAGTCTGTGGGGAAGAAGAGGTTTGGGGGGCAGGCAGATTGAGGCTTCCACAGGGAGGGAGGGCTTCATTCGGGTGCCAGTGGGGAGGGTGGGCAACTCCTGCTGCTGTACCCATCCCTGGGGGATGTGTGGGGGGCATCTGCCCCCTGGATTTGTGCGTGGGGTGAGTGCGTGCCTGCTGCAGGCTTGGGGCTGGGGGCTAGGTTGGGGCTGTGCTTGGGACAGGTGGTGGTGGTGGCACTGGGAGTGGGGGGGCTACAGAGTGGGCTACAGCCACCCCAAAATTCACTGAAGCCCCCTCTTCCCATAGCTCCCCCTCCCCAGCAGGAGAGCTGGGCCGGTGTTGGAGCTGGAAGAGGCTGGCACAGCCCGTAACCTCAAGCCTGTAGCCGGCAGCTTGGTCATGCCCTGCGCACAAATCCAGGGGACACATACCTCCCCCCCCATGTCCTCCTGGGGGTGTGTGCAGTGGTGGGAGACACGCCACTCCTCACCACCCTGGCCCAGCTGGGCAGCGCCGGCCCAGCTGGGCAGCGCCTGCCCCTCTTCCCGGCCCCCCTCCCCCCAACTTACTGGCCAGATGCTGCTCTCCAAGCTGCTGGACTGTATACTGACATCAGATCAGTATTGGCTGATTATGCCAAAAAATCTTTATCGGTGCATCCCTATTTTTAATGCATTTTTTCCTTCCACCAGCCAGGCGTATTGTAGCCACCTTTATCCCAGGACAAAGTGCAGTTCAGATACTTATGTCTGGCTCAGGACATACCCTATAAAGATTGACAGAATTAGAAATGCTAACAGTCCTGTGATAAATGTGAAATCTGTTCTTAGCCTTGGTGCAAGCTAGTAAGTCAGGGGTGGGCATCTTTTTTTGGCTGGAGGGCCACATGAGTGTTTGATGTCCTCTTGACAACCCCTTCCCCTTCTCCTCCCCCACAAACCCAACCTGGAGCTGTAGCACACCCTGATCCCACCCAGAACCTGCTGACTCCATCCACAGGATAGACAACAGGCAGGTGCTGACGGTGGGGGGGCACAACTCTGCTACCATTGCCCCTGTTGCTGTTGGGTGCTGGGTTCAGGGCTGGGCTGCAGCCCCACACTCCAGCATAGATTCAGAAATTGGGGTGGAGGGGCCTGTGCTTGTGTCCCTGCCGTGTGTAACCTATGGTCCGCAGCTTACACCCCCCCCCACCCATGTGGCAGAAGAAGCCCTGCTGTAGAACCGGCTGGGCATGTCTAGGTAAGGATTAGAGCATTTGCCTGGGTTCACAGCTGATGCTACTGCATCAGCATGGGGCAGAAGCAGTTCAGGCTGCCTGCCCAGTACAGCTGAAACAGCCCCGTCTGTTCATCCATACGGCTGTACTTTGCCCACCCTTGCAATAGTTCATACTGGGGACAGTTATTAGAAAACATCTGGCACCCTGCAGTCTTGGTCCTTACTTGGTTCACCCCATATGTAGTCCTCAGTTGTAACCAAGCACTAATTGAAACTGAATCCAGACAAGATAGTGGTCTTAGTGGTTGGCAGACTTCATGGGGGGGAGGGAGAGAGAGAGGGATACCTGCATTGTTGGTTTTTGATTGGGTGTGTCAGTAATTCAGCTAAAACTCTATTATTAAATCCAAAGGTCAAGAGCCGTTAAACGTTTTTACGTAAAAGTTCAAAAAATAATACTATAAGAAAATGCCAGTTAGATAATCATAGAAAAGTAGGGCTGGAAGGGACCTCCAGAGGTCATCTAGTCCAAGCTCTAGCCTGAGGTGTGAACATCCCTATCCAAACCATCCTTATAAAACCTATAATCTAAATTCTGCATAAGACTGCTGTCAACCCTGCAATACCTAGCACCCTAACCTGCCACAGGTAAAGCAGGGGAACTATAGGAGCCAACTTTTCTGCTTCTATGAAATGTTTTTAATATATGCTCAAGAGATCTTGGTCATGCCCCCTGCTACAGAGGAAGGCAAAAACACTCATGGTCCTTAGCAATCTGAGGTAAAGGAAGAGTAAAATTCCTTCCTGACCCCAAACATGGTGATCAGTTTTACCATGAGCGGAGCAAGGCTCTAGCCAGGTACCTCTGGCTAGGGTCCCAGCAAGAGCACTGGCACACCGCAGAGTCCCCAGCCAATGCCTCCGAGTGCAGCTTAAAAACACTGTGACACGTTTAGCAGAACCTGGGGGTGGGAAAGCCCAGAAGCATGGGAAATACCCTTAGTAGAATGTAGGCCTAGATTATCCCTGACCAGTGGCTGTCCAGCCTCTTTTTGACTACCTCAAGTGATGGAGAGTCCACAACTTCCCTAAGCAGTCTATTCTGCTGTCTCACTGTTCTAACAGTGGATTTTTTTTTTTCCGGATATTCAACCTAAATCTACTTTGTTGCAGCTTCAAGCCATTGGTCCATGTCATTTTCTCTGCAGCAAGAGAGAAGGTTTTTCTCTTTATGGCAGTCTTTCAAGTGTTTGAACACTGCTATCATGTCTCCTCTTGAGCACCTTTTCTGTAAGCTGAACATGCCTAGGTCCTTCAGCCTCTCCTCATATGACTTACCCTCCAAGCCCTTGACCGTCATTTTTGCCTGCTTCTGGACCCTGTCTAACTTCTTCACATCTGTTTTAAAATATGGAGGCCAGAACTACATGCAGTACTCCAGATGAGGCCTATCCAGTGCCTAGTAGAGAGGCACTATAGGTATTGTAACATTGCTATCTGATAATGACCATGTATGCACTATTACAGTTGCAAGCATTTGATCAGAATATTTACAGCTGGGTTAGAGAGGGAAATTCTAGCTGTTCCATGCTGACTGGTTCCATCAGGTCAGCTCACACTAACAGACTTTTTCTTTCCTGCTTTTTTTTTTTTAACGCCCCCTGAATTTCCTGTTACATCATCTTTTGAGTTCTAGAAACTTGTCAGATCTAGTCTGAACTTCCATACCTACTTGTCATTCCCAATACACACAACTTTCCTACTTTCTCTCTCATTCTGTTTTTGGTGGGTTGCCTCCTAGACTTCCAGGGAACTAATCTTGACACTGCCTACTCTGCCCCTCCCCCTGGTTTGCCAGTCTCCTTGCTGTTGTTCACTTATCTTTTTCTCCTATAGTAGCATATCTGTGGCTTGCTGCACTTAATCCTGTCCGCATTTATCATTTTTTGTCTGTCTACTTAAACTTTGGTTCCATGAATGATTGTTATGCTTGTACCTGATGATAAAACATTCCATTGCCTATTGCATAATAACAGTACTTTTCATAATTCCTACACCTGTCACTCAAGGGAAGTCTCCTCTTGTCACTCAGGTTTGCAGCCTTGGTTCTCTTGGATCCTTTGCTTTACCTTTTTATTTTCATGTGGTGACAAGTAAGAATGCCTTTCACCAACTGCATTGGGTGTTAAGCATGCAACCTTTCTCAGGTTCACATTTGGCAACCATTGTACATATGTTTGTAACCTCAAACAGGACAGACTACTACAGTGCACTCTATGTAAAGCAACCCTTGACATCTGAAAGTTGCAGCTGATGCAGAACATGGCATTCTACCTTCTCATAGGATAGGTCACCAGAAGCACATTACTCTATTGTTTGTGGGTCTGCACTGACTTTCTGTAGCTTTCCAGGTGCAACCAACATACTGGTTTTGACCTGTAAGGCCCAAAACCTAAGGCTTTTTTGGAAAAGGGGCATATAACTCTAATAAATAAATAAACCATCTGGACTACACATACTTAAGAGAGAACCTGCTCCTTACACTCCATTATGATCCCTCAAGTCAGTAACTTCTGCACATACCATCTGTGCTTCAAGTTCATTTTGTAAATGCTTGGGAGGTCATTCTGAGGAGTTGCTATTCAGCTCTAGAACTCTTCTTTGAGGCTGTTCAGAGCCTGAATCTGGACATCTTAGGGAAGCATCCAAATATATTCTTATGTGGGTGTTTGCAGGCTGGTTTAAGTTATGGGCATTATTGGAGAAGTTTCTGTTGCATAATATTTTTATCTGGTTTTTACTATATACCACTCTGAGCCTGTTTTGGAGAGGGCATCATATACATCTAATAAATAACAGTAACATTATTTTGCTACTTTTGGTTGGTGAGGGAGTGGGCTCAGTAAGTGTCAGTTATGTGCTGTCAGGGCCCCGTACTGGAAGGGACTCTAGATATATTTTAAACGTCACAGTACTGTTCTTAATTCCCTAAAGGTCTTTTTATGAACTAAGGATTGCATGGTCTTAGGTGGGGAGGAAAATCTAAAATTAAAACTACATCTCTCTTATTGTACCTCACAAATGTGCCTTTAGGTACACTATGAAGAAACACAGTGCTGTTTAGGGACGTGACTGATTTGAAGTACCAATTCATTTTGTTTTTGTTGAGTAGTATATACAGACCTAAGTACTGTGTTGGGAAGGGGTAGGAAGTGGCTAAAAGTTACATGACTGATAGGGTCTCTAGCACAAGGAAGGGTCTAGATTGGAAGCTCAGTCTAGAATGGTGCATCTCAAAGACAAAACAATAAAGAAAGAACCTAGTTGCACT